CTGAACTGTACAAAAAACAGAGCAGGGCATTTATGTTTTGCAATCTCTGCCTACTGTGCTGATTCATTAATTCCTCCTCCTTTCTAGTGTTCTCCTATGTCTTGTAATTAGTCTTGTACTGAATTATGTGCAGAAGGAACAGTTGCATTGCCTGGGTTTCTACATGCTCTAGTCCAGCGTGCTCCAGGTCCGTGATCAAGGTATGCAAATAGCAGCAATAAATGAACCAACCACCAGTACTTCAAACTCTTCTGGAATGATTTGGAAGGCGTATTTCTGACTGGTATAAACCACACGTGTTCAACTGGTTTGTCACTCAGTTTATAAAGTGGTAATGGTTGTGTTTAGTCACTCAAAGGATGTGTAAGATTATTTCAGCCCAGGTGACCTCTTCCTTCTTAAAAGGGATTCTATGAGGATATACTTATATTAGACATGAAAACCTCAAGAGCTTTATTCTGTCCTTCCAATTTTGATGCTTCTCTCTCATGTAATTGCAACAGGTGGTCTCAGCCTGAAGGAGTACATGGTAGAGCAGTAATAATAATGGCCTGACTTCGTGTTATTTTCTGTAATCATTCCAATCTTGCTCCCAGATGCAGGTCTGCAATACCTGATCCAGAGGAAGAAAAAGCCCACCTCAACCCCAACTCCCCCACTGATCTCTTATCCGAAGTGCAGGCTTCTGCTGTGTATTTCGCTGTTAATTCTTAGGCAGATCTCCGCTTGTTTTCAACAAACCTTTCCCTTTCCTAAAGAACTGTAAGGAACAACTGACAGCTTTCTGAAAACTGTATTAAGATACTGCACTGGACATATTTATAACTTTCCTGTTATAAAAGGTTGTAAGAGATGCTGATTATCACTTGAGAGAAAAATACTTCTGGGAATTGATTTATTTTTTTAACGTGTATCTATATATTTTTTGATTTATATATGTGTGTGTCTGTATATATATATATGTGTTTATTTTACTCTGTACAGAGAGAGCTAGATCCTGACATGTTTGCCAGTGATCCCAGAAGTGAGAGCAGCTTGAGGTGCCTGTGACCTCTCTGAGGGCAAGCATATACCCATATTTACATCTATAGATACATGCACATGTGTGCATGTATGTGTTCTGTCACGGATGTCGCTGGAATGAATCCATCCTCTTGTTTCATCCAGAAGCTTCCCAAGTTCCATCCCGATGAAGCAAGCTAAGGCTGTGTCTGTGTCTCTCACAGACTTTTTCAACATCCTCCTCCCTGTCAGTATGTTTCAAGGCCATGCACTTGCGGGTCCAGCCTCCTCTTCTGCCTGTATGTGCACTGTACTATTTCCAGGGCATTCAGATAGGTGACACTGAGAAGGTCAAGGCTCAGCAGCGTAATGGTACAGTAAAAGGTTCTTAGACTTTATTTGTGTCCTTAAAGGCAGAAACAGAACACTGCAAACTGTTAATTTTTGTAAGGGACAATTATTGTAACAATGGTTAAACCTCGTGTCTCCTCAGTGTAGCAGCATTTCCTTTCCCAGATTACACAGGGAGATGCTTTTCTGATCTGTCAACTAAACGTGGTAACAACTGGAGTAACACATCAGGGCTTTAGCAACGTTAGAACAAGAACAGAGTATGAGCTACAATGTTCTTTGCTCCAGCGAAATAAAGATCATCTCTCACCTGTCCACCATGACCTTGTTACCATGAACAGGACTGTCTAAACATTTTGGGAAGCAGTAAGGTATTGCTGCTGTTCCTGCTGCCTAAGTGTAACAAGCCTGTTGTATATAAAACATGATCTGTGTTTGTGACATACAAGGGCCCCAGGGATGACAACGGGGCAAGGCTTAGAGCTCTTGCACAGTCTGACAGCATCGCAACTGGATTAGCTACTTTCTACTTTTCAACCTATTGATCAATTTACACTGTCCAGGCCAACTGTGCTAGAAGGTCTATAAAATGTGGTTTTCCTCTAAGTGCAGAAGCCGATTCAACTCCAATTCCTTAAGATAGTGTCTAGAACTAAACCTCTTAGTTGTCTAAAACTGCTTGAAGTTCAGAGAGAATTAATATCTTAGTTTTGCCTGTAAAATATGCACTGATGAGGTGCTTAGATGCTCAGTAAAAAGACAAAAAGTTATTAAAACAAGGGACTTACACGTTCTCCTTTGGGTCCTCTGTCTCCTGGTCTCCCCACAGCACCCTGAAAAATTGTTTTTGAAAAAAAGTTAAACATATCACTTGAAGGTTTTTTTGAATATTCATCTGTTAGCAGAAATGAAATCAACTGCCTAGGATTAACAGCAATGGTATCTGTGAAGAATAAAATACAGTAGTATGCAAAAGGGTGTTTTCCTACCGGAGGACCTGGCAATCCATCTTTTCCATTGATTCCCTATTAAAAAAAAAAAAAATCTACTTATGTTTATGCATTTTAAAATTATAAAGAGTAAAGCTCAATGCTTAGTGCTGGTATCAGTACATATTCTGAAGGTGCAGAGGAAGAAGTTTAGGTGGTTACAATATAGAAATACTCAGAAATAGTCTGGAGTCATGTGAAATAACAGAACTCAGGGTGATACTGAACTGCAAACACATTAAATTTTGAGCTGAGAGCAGAGCAATAAAAAAATCTTTGGCATCAAAATGTGCATCAACTTTAACGAGCACACAACTTTAAATGACAAGTTATATGGAAATTTTGTGAATGTGGAATAGGGACCTCTACATGCACCTTTACAGTCCCAGCTAGTCATTATGCAACCCTGAAAGAGATTTCTTTTGTTCTAGATATTGGCCCTGATGCTGTATTACCCTGCTGATCTTACAGAGATTATGCCATAATAGTAAGTGGCCAGACCCATTCTTTGGTCCTTAGGGCTTATGGCACAGCACAGCTTCAGCCTCCTGGGATAAACATATTTCCTTCCCAAAAGAGGCTGGTCTCATTCATACCACCTGCTGGAAACAGTCCTGGCATTACCTGAGCCCTAGTTGGCATGGGCCAAAGTAATGCCAGAGGGTACGCTAACAACCGCACAATGCCAGCTAATTGCAAGATGAATGCTCTGGCACTGTTTAATTTACTAGGATATACATGGATCTGCATATGCAGCACACTCGCTGCCGTTTCACTGAGAAAGAAGGACTTGCACGAGGAAAGACATCAGGAATGTTTTTCGCTCTCATACTGCAAAGTGGAGTTTTGCACAGATTGGGCACCTTGGGCCAATTTGCTGCTGAAGTTACAGAAATTGGCTCTTCTTTCAAGACAGAAGCGTAACGTGGAGACATGCTGACAAACTGAAACGCTCTGCTCCTCATGCCTGTTCCCAGAACTCCAAGATAATGGGTTCTGCGCTACCCTAGCTGAACCACTTCTCGAATATAAACTAGGTTGTTTTAAACCAGCTCAGGCAGCGCTGACCACACTGCTGCCACACTTTTATTAAATAAAGAGGTCAGATTAGGCAGATCCTACGGGAACAGCAAATGCTCAGCTGCAGTGTTGCATCACCTGTATACAGAAGAATTACAAAGTTTATTCAGAGTCATGAAGCACACACTTCTCTCTCGAAACTGAAACCGGGAATGTATTTTGTCAGCTCATCCGTTATAGACTGTGCTGAGTGTCTGCGTTAATATTCTCCCTCTGAAAAAAGTACAAGAGGGATCCTTTATGTCAACAGGATCCAAAGGACCCTCACAAGACCTTTAAAGGCAACATCTCAGTAACATTAGCTATTAAAACATCACAACATCAGCGATCCTTGACTGGATGGTAACACTGTCCACTGTAGCTCTTCGTGTCCTTCAGCTGTCACCCAGCCTAACACAATGCAGGATGCAATCTCATTTCTTCTGTAACTTCTGATAAACTAAGGTGCATCCTTTTGTAAAGCACATATATTCAGTACAAAATTGCTTACTGGTTTTCCTTGTGGCCCTTCTGGCCCGGGGAAGCCTATATCTCCTATAGGTCCTCTTTCACCCTAAGCACGAAGAAAAGACAGATATAAATTTGCATGTAAAATCTTGCATTCGGTGTTGGAAATATCTATGTATTATGGTAAGAGTCCAGAACCCAAATCTGTACTTACAGGTTCCCCTGGCATCCCTGGGGACCCAGGAGATCCCTGCTTTCCCTGCAAAAAGAGAACATTACAAGTTAAAATTACTAGGAAGCAAAACATAATTTCTCTTAGGTTAAAAATAAGAGGGGATATATATTTGAGTAAAATATTCATGTTACTGTTCATTAAATGCTTTGAGAGAGGAAAAAGAAATATTTCAACGGACTTTTTAAAATATTTCTGCCATGTTAATCTGACTTTTGTGCACAACATAACTCAATGACTTGGTCTTCTCTACCCTTTCTGAATACTGAGAAAACATTTTCATGAAATTTTCTTTTACATGATTTCCTTCTTGAGAAGTCATAGTCAGATCAAAGTTTGTCACCGTATATGTGAAATGAAGATTTTTTCCTTCAGGTACTTTCTAGTCCTGATATTTTTGTTTTAAAGTGAGGTTATTACTGAAAATGCCTTTTGCAAATCTTCTTCATGCTCTTTTTCAGCCACTTTTACTGTTGTATGTTCAGCCTTCCAGAATTCACAATCCTTTCTCATCTCATCATTTAGATGTTTTTTTTAAATGTCTTTATTTTTTAAAATGCTGCCTTGCTTTTAACCTATCTAGTACAGCCCCAGACAAGAATCTATTACCCTGAATCTACATTTCCCAGAAATACCCTTAGACCAGATCCTCAGCTGACCTGTAGAAGTGAGGGATCTAACACATCAATGACAGTGACAACTTCAGGAACAACAGGACTGAGGATTTGGGCTGAGGAAACAGGCATTGGTGGCAATTCTTCAAGAATCTCAGTCCAAACTTCCCTGATAATCCCACTCAGCAAAAAAACAAAGCTAAAATGAGAGGTTTACACTCCTAAATGGGAAAAAGGGTCCACTGTTCAGTCTAGGGAGTAATGCCAGGTCAGGAGGACAAATTCTCTTCCACTGAGATATGTGGATATATTTAAAAAACTCTTCCTAGACTACTAAAAATTATTGCCTCTCAGATGTCTATTAATTTGTTAATTAAAACTGCTTAGCATAAAACATTAAAGGAAATAATTTATTTCAGTGGATTTTATTAGAAATTAGATGTAATCAACTCCATCAGTGATGAAGGGAACTCATTAAATATTTCATATTCAGCATAGAGAGCAACAAGAATAAGACTTGAAGCATATGCAGTTGGGAATACACAGGAATGCACAACTGTGATCACGCTAACTGGCTACTGCATAATTGATTCACAGCGTGAAATGTGTTTCAGAGCAACAAACTTTGAAACTTTTACACAGGCTATAAAACTCGGCGAAATACTTCTCTTTTCCTCTTAGATGTGCAATTTTACCTTGTATTAGGAGAACTAATTAAATAAAGCTGTTTAAGCTGGTGTTCTCTCTTCGAACTCACAGTAAATAGACTAAATCAGTGGCTGAAAGAAATGGGAGTGCATAGACACAAACTTCTCTTTATTTCACAGAACACGTACTTATAATTTAAAAACAGCTCCTGAATGGATTGGTAGCTGCCCAAATTTAATAATAAATTTATTTGCATATAAATAACTCCATATTGCCTCCTGAAATATGGATAAACTTTGTTATTAAACTGTGAATGCAATCTAAAGAAAAGTTGTCTTCATTTCCTTTAGGAACACTAATGAATAATTATAATTTCAATTTATCATTGGTTACATTTACTTTCACCTACAACGGAGTTTCTGGCTGACTTTCAGGAATTTCTCTGAATGCCACACGTAAATAGCTGACAAAGCATTTCCCTAAAGCAAATGTTTGATCGACCTGATATGCAGATCCTTGTGGATTGCAGTAAGAAACGTTCATAATTTTTCTTTGTGATGGAAAGACACTCAGAAATTTGTGCATGCCCAGGAACACAGAAAATGTGCTTATCTATATTAAACTGAGGCAAGAAGAATCTTATATGCTTTCTTAACTAAGCATATGCAACTTCAAATTCCAGCTTTATCATGCATTCACAACATTCCCTCCTGTCATTTTAATAATAATATGAATCCTCAGTAGTACTAAAATTCTAATCTCTTCAGGAAAAACACATCATTTTCATACCTGCCTATAAAGCATTAGCCCAGTGCTGGCAGTTCACAAACAATGATGGAGATCATGGCTCAGCATCTTGCTTGACCTGTTTTTTCAGCTTCTAACAGAGTTTTCTTTAATGAATATACATACCGGTGTCCCCGCTACTCCTGGTGAGCCAGCTGGTCCACGGTCACCCTGAAGAAAAGATAAATCTATACTTAAATGGTAACACTCAAACCAGAACTTTGCTTGTGGATTCCCATTAAAACCCGAGGAAGGATTATTCAGTGAACTGAAAATGAGGACAAGAGCCAGGCTCTGCTAAATGCTAATATTTAGCTCTGACACTGACTCATTTTACAGACTTGAGCAAGTAACTTAAATCCTTTGTTTAGGTCCTCTTGCGTAACGTCATAATTTCCATGCTACCCTTACGATCTGCTTGAGGCTTTCCTTGAAAAGGGATGGCAAGTCCCTGCCTTATCTCTAGTTTTCCAAATAATTATCATTCGCAGTCATGACCAAATTCACAGACGGTAACTCCTATCAACATTCCCATGTTTAAGATATATCTTTCAAAGAAGTTTTTGCCTTCCTGCTACCCAGTCATCCATTTGCTGCAAGTTCAGCATCCTCAATTTGCTAGTGCCATGGTCCTTTCAGGGCAAAGTTTCTCCTTTCAGCATACTGCCACCTTCACCTATGCTTGAAGGTAAGGCAATGGCTTTTGTGCTCGAGCTGATGAGTTATGAGGTACAAACTCATCTTTCTCTCTTGAGAGGGCTATAACCTGAGGCAGACAGATGGTGAAACTCTACACAGCCAGATCTGCCCTAACGCGCCACTGAGGTGTAACACTACGCTCTGCTAGTGATTCAAAATGTAAGAAAAAAGTCAGGCTCCTAGTTTCTATCATCATGGCAGAAAAGCCCTGGCACACTAAAAGCCATGCTAACAGAAGAATATTTCTGTAAGATGAATTTATGTGACCCGGAGCTGTTTTGCCAAGCTCTACCAATGTAGTTACAGCCACGTTCCATTGGGCAGAAGCGCCCCAGGAGATGCTGAGATTTCTGGTTTCTGTTCTTACACCTAATGCTGATTTGTCTCATTCTCATCAATTTCTTGAGGTAGCGGAATGATAATGCTGGTAATTAGAAACACTTAACTCCGTTCCACAAAGTGTAGTGAGTTGACGAGCTAAATGCCTGACCTTGTGTCCGGAGGGAGAAGCTTGCTGCCCTGCAGCCCAACCTCTCTCGCTCTGGAGCCTGTGAGAACTGACTTAATGCAAGTTCATCCCTCAGTGAGGAACACAACACCCCAGGCACGCCGACTGTAGCGGGGTGGATTGGCTTGAGCACTGCATCCTCTCCCTGCGGTTATGATGGACTCAGAACCCCTACCGTGGTGTTTTCCCCCTACACTGACCATGAGAGTGAAGCTAAAAATTCCTAACACTTCCCTTGCAACTCTTTTTCTTTTAAGGGTTATTCTGGTCCTTTCAGCAATGTGATTCACAGCACGGCTGCCGAAACCACTGTGTCAGCACAACGGAGGGAAGGGACATTTTACACTGAGGACACCACATTGTTAAGGCGGTTCATGAAATTACCATGAAATTACAGCCGATACTGTCTGAGGAAGACAGCATTCTGCTCACAGATGCACCACGGGCTCTAAATTAAAATCCAGCATGCACTATACTGTTGGGACCGACAGGCAGTCTCTGGGATTTTGTTCATTTATTTGCACCAGAAATGGGGAATTCTGACCATATTTAGTTAAGGAAAGGATATTTTTACTTTGGGAAGGGGCCAAACACTCACTTTGCTTGTTTATACAATCTGCTCCATTCCTTACTCCCTTTATTTAATTCTTGTCCCCACTTTGTCTCAGTTAGACCTATAATATGTCCCTATGTTTGTTCATTTTGAAATCAAGTTAGACTTTAATCGCTTGTAAATTATAGTCTTCCAGAGCAAGAATCATCCCATGTAATTTAAACATCTAGTAGAGACACCTACCTTAGATCTTGTCACTCCTCACTCTCTGCACAAGTAGGAGTAATGCACAGTGATATCGAGAGAGAAGCTTTTAATTTACATTGCTTTTTGATGAAAAATAAGTTTCAGTAAACTATTTTTGTATTGTCATTTGATAACATGCAATTCAAAAAGCTCAATAAATGCCCATTTTTAAAAAATTAATTCTTTTTCTACTTAAATTTTAAAGATGTGGGCAAAATGAAACCCTTTTCACTGACAGAAAATAAACTTAGAGATTTTTTTCATTTCTCTGCTGATTTTTTTGAACTTTGCCGTAGTTAGAAATGAATAGCAAAATCTTTATTTTTTTATGTGAAATCATGACAAGCTTTCCTCTAAGTCCATATCAGCCTCCACAACTAGGAAGTAAAAGGCTGAAACGTGCCACCAGTTGAAGGAAAGGATAATTTCCTAGCACTGGAATGTAGACTTTAACTACTGGAAGGAGCTGAGGAATATGATATGGTTCGGGATGCGCTATGCCAGCATCACACACGCAGCGCAAACTGCTACAACAACGAGTAGCAGTCTAAGAAAAGAGATTTTTGCTCACTTGGGAGTAGGATGCAAGACAACAGAAACTGTAGGAATCTCTCGCTCTATTTCTACACTCCTGTATTTTAACACTCATCTGAAATAGTCTTTTTGTTGTATGGAAGTCTTGCATGCACTAGGTCTCAACTAATTTAGGTACAAACTTCTCCTTGGGTCTGTCGCTATGCTGTAAGTCTTAGAACATTACAGACCGTAAGCATAAGACAATATTCAATAGAGAACTAGTGACCATACTTAGAAACATTCCCATTATACTACTACCAAGCAATACTGTATATACCATATATAACATAGTATATAATAGCACTCTATCAAGTTAAGCAAACAAAAGATTACAAGACCTCCTATACACAATCTTCCATTTGTGGAAAATGAAATTTTATGTTGGGTGAGTACATAATTTAGATCCACAGTAAAGCAAAAAAAAAAAAACAAAAACCACCCAACAGATAAATACACAAATATTTTTCACACAGAAACATTAACTTACACACACACATTAAAAAAAAAAAAAAAATCAAACAAGGTTTCAGAAAACATTTAGCTGCAGGTAGCTGCCACTAGGAAGTCATGACTTCTTTTTAAGAGTCCTACCTTTTCCCCTGGGAGTCCTTCCAGTCCTGGTAATCCCATCGGTCCTGGGTCTCCCTGATTTTTTTAAATTAAAAAGGATGGCATACATTAGAATTTCTGTACTCTACATGAGAAATGTTGAACACTGAACAACTGCAGATTATTTAATTTTATATTAGTAAAACAACTAACCAGTTATTAGTTGAACAGATTTTGTTATGCCCTGTTTTAGTGATCTGCAAATTAAGCTTTTCCCAGGGGCACTATGTGAATATTTGGATCAATGGATTAAATTTTGATGAAGAATGTAATCTAGAAGAGTCCCCTCCAGTGTTCTTGCAAGCCAAGGCCAGCTCCAAAGCACCTCCAGGCAGTACAGTCCCAGGGTGTAAGCATACGCAGTCAACCAGAGAACCAGCCTCCAAGCAATTTTGTGCTCTGCTCCCTACACAAAGCTTACTCAGCAGCAAGGGACCCAGAGTAGGCCTTTAGGAAAAACGTTCACCCAGTCAGGATTTGGATCTACATTCTGCTAGAGTCTAGTCCTGTGCAACCTCTCAAGGTTCTTCCACTAGTTGATCTTCCCTTCCTCATAATTTTTAAAGAAAGATCACGTGAAAAGGACATAACAAAATGCCTACAGGAAAAAAATACCAAAAAGTTAAAGAGATAGGCTTTTGAATGTCAAACTGCATAGCTGAACGGTATAGTGGCCTGAAGTAATGTGATCATATTGTAACTGATTATCATGCCAGTTCCAAAGGAAACACCACTTTCTAGTTGTTACTAGCTAGCATGATGCAGCACACCGACCCTACGCCTTTCTCAGTTTCAGATTTAATGTTATGAACAATCTATTAGCTCCTAAGGTATTTTATACCTTTATTTCACATTCTCTATTTTTAGATACAACCAGGGACAGCTCAGCAGAGATGAATCCACAAGAAGTTAATACTATGTTGTCATTCATTATGTTATCACTTAGAACTCTTTACCAGAAACTGCAAAAATCACAAGCCTAGCAATTAAAAAGGCTTTTTCCAATGTACTGATTCTGCAGGAGGTAAGCAACCTGCTAAAGAATGTTACTGGACGCTTCCACCCCTGTGGCTAGGATCATGTGTTCAACTACTTGGGGAATCCTCTATCATGACCAAAAAATACATACGTACCACTGTGCCAGGATCTCCTTTTGGACCCTGCAAAGAAATGAAGAAGTGGAAACACATTTTAAAAAGAACAGAGTTACACAATAAGATGATATTTTTTGTATTACTGCATTATCAGTATACTTTGCTAATGCAGCACATTCAGAATCAGTATTAAGTCCAGCCATCTCAGCTGATTAATTTAGTATCAAAACTCAATTATATTTCATTTTCGTTTTGCTCTTCCAGAACACAGAAAAAGACAGGTCTGTGGTCCGGTGCTAGCCTGTGACTATGAACGGCACATAACGTAAGGACACCGTCTGCACTGAGGGCTACAGCATTTTTATGTGGTTACTAAAATGACAATCATCTTAAACCAGTAGAACTTGCCTATGATGCCAGCAAGAAGGACCTACAAAAGCACAGAGCATCTTTGGCTCCACAGAACCAAAGCAATGGTGTCCAGCTGAAAGGTGGCGCATCTGCACTTTGCAGTGTGGAAGACACCAGCCCTGCATTTACTGCCAAAATATAATACTCAGGTTTACACATTTTTCTGCGCTATAGCTACTTGCAGTGAACTGGTGACAGAACTGAGATCAGAATTCATGAGCTTCTTATTTCTGGCACCAAATTTAATCCATTAAAAAACTATGCCATCACTAACTATAAATACTGTATTACACATTTTAAGGTATTAGGATACTTTCACTAAAGAGTCCAGTACCAAATTATATAGCATTTTTCCAGCCTTTACTTGCTAGGGTGAAGTATGGGTTTAAATTGAAAGTAGGGAGGTTTAGATTAGATATCAGGAAGAAGTTCTTCCTGGAGAGGGTGGTGAGGCACTGGGACAGGTTGCCCAGAGAAGCTGGGGATGCCCCATCCCTGGAAGTGTTCAAGGCCAGGCTGGATGAGGCTTTGAGCAACCTGCTCTAGTGGAAGGTGTCCCTGCCCATGGCAGGGGGGTTGGAACTAGATGGTCTTTAGGGTCCCTTCCAACCCTAACCAGTCTGTGATTCTGTGATTCTAGGAAGTATTTAACTCAAAATAAACTACTCTCCAAAATGGACTAAAATGCTTGATAAACACATAAAATCACATACTTTATAATTTACTGCATACCAACCACATCTATTTTTTTTTCTCTTTCACATATAAAGTCAAATTTCATGCCACTTACCAAAACTGCATGCAACTAAACAACCCCTCTGTTACTATGTTAATTAACTATTAGAAATTACATATCTGTTAATACTTACTGGAGGTCCTGGTGGACCTGGATAACTAGGGACACTTGCACTACCCTGTAACAGCAAGTTTAAAAGTTGAGTTGGGTCAAAATTAGCTGTTGATTGAAAAAATAATTAACATTAAAAAGAAATACCTGGAGTTTATATAAGCTGCTCATTCCATTTCTTTCATTGTAAGGCATACCCTTTAAAACATAAAAAACAAGTAAGTGTCACAACTGACTTATAAAGGCAGAACTCTTGCCCTGTTTAAATCTCATAGCTCAGCAAAGATGTGATATTATTTTCGTTCTTGATGAATTTTTCAAAGATTCTAGACATTCCAGGAAGGATGTGATACTTCCCAATGCAGCTTTTTTGAATTATGAAACCAGCAACCAGAAATCCAGTGATGGATGTCCCATCCCTGGAAGTGTTCAAGGCCAGGCTGGATGAGGCTTTGAGCAACCTGGTCTAGTGGAAGGTGTCCCTGCCCATGGCAGGGGGGTTGGAACTAGATGATCTTTATGGTCCCTTCCAACCCAAACCATTCTATGATTCTATGAAACCTGTAAATCTCAGCCTATTTTACATTTTGATATTTATTATTATTATAATTCTCCAGAATTAATTTTGTGTTGGTTACTATTCCAGTTAATTTGGAGTCTGGTGAGCTCCACGTACTTTCTCTAGGTTCACTGATCTCAGATACCCAAGCTCTCTAAATCACTCTACTAGTGTTGGAAACCAAGGTTAACTCATTCGACCAAGTTTCTAGGATGGCTTCAGTGACCTCAGTGATGAATCACAAAGAAAAAAAGGAATACAGAAACCTTTTACAAAAATACATCGGTGTCTTCCTGCACTATTAATATGTATTAGGTTGACAGTCAATTCTTTATATTACAGTACATTTTGCTAACAGGTATATTGTTCCTAACACAACACTGAAAATATAAAACAAAATGTCTTACCGGAGGTCCAGGTGGTCCAGGTTTGCCAGGAGAACCATCACTACCCTAGTACAGTAAGAGATTCATATAACTCATTTATTATAACTGAAGTCCAGACCTATTCCGTACCCAAGCTATGATGACCATAATGATAATAAACAAGAGATATAGTCAATATGAGCAGGTAATATCCAGAATAAATTCTCCTGCCCAGCTCCTGCTTAGCTTAAGCTTTAGGCAAGTTATTAATCATTACTTTATACTAGGTTATTATTTTGTTAGTTACTTGATGCTTTATAGTAACTTCCTTGAAGCAAAATAGTAGTGGCAACCTGGGTTGTGATACACTTCATATATACCAGGGAGGAGAGGAAGTAAAAAAAGAGTTATTAACATCAATTTCTAAGCAAACAGCAGATAAAGGTTGCCATTAATTTTATGCTTTGTATATTCTTTTGCAAAAGCCAATCCTCAGTTGATTATTAAATAAGGTAAATAAAGAAGAGCTACAGTTTTCAGAAGTTCAGTTTATTTAGGAACACAATGAATAAGAATACTTTCTTTATTAAGAGATATAATGAATATCTTCTTGGTTTTTATGGTAAAATATTCACCTGTGGTTACCTGTATCTGTAGTCTGTTTTGCTGACATGCACTGAATTGCTTACATTAAATAAAGAAAAGCTTCTGATTTTTTGCTCCAGCAGAATGGTGTGGTCTCTGAACAGTATAGAGTTACAAAGGTTTCAACATCAAATTTCCCAAACAACATCTTTCCAAAATCTCATCACTACAATTCAGTTTAAAATGCTGTAGAATTTGGAAGAAGTCTCCCAGAATTTTTCACTGACTTCACTGGATCTTGTTAAACATATGCCACCGAGACACTTAGGCTGCATATTTAAAATTATTAATGTGGCAAAGTCAAGCTGAGTGTTCAATGGCAATAATTAGCTTACCAGAAAAACGTAACTGTAATTAAGTGTTTATAGTGGGAGAATTTCCAAGTAGTCCTGCTAGTCGATTGAAACTGGCACCTCCAAAAAGTGGAGTCCTTCAAGGGGAATAAAAATACTATGCTTTAGAAAGCACATTGCATGATCATTTCTCAAACATGTTCCCCAGCTGAAGGAAGGAGGGAGGAAATTGCTCTGGCTATATTTCAGTTTGCTTCATCACTCTTCAGCCCTCTGACTTTTTCCCTTTCTGATCGATGAGACACTCACTAGTTACAGAGCCGTGGCTTATTTCCACATGTGTGTGAATTGTAAACAAGGAACTAACAAAGACTTTTGTTCTGTATTCGGTTACATAAGAAGGGAGTGAGTGTGGTAAATTTTTGCTATTATGGTCTGCAAGGAGATAGTTCTCAATCAATTTTTATACTGAAATAATGTCAGAGTTTTACAAAATAGTTTCCTTTCTTACTCATACGAGAGTCAAGGTTTTGTAGAGTATTAGTAGGATCACATGCACTGATGTGGCAGCGCTGTCTGGAAAACTCCATCTAAAGCTGAAAAAAACTTCAGGAAAGTGTATTCATATGCAAAATGAAGAACTTGTGCCAGAAAGTATTTTTCAGCAAACTAAGTTTGTGGCTGCTGTATTTCACTGATCTGAGGTATCCAAGAAATGAATCTGACCTCTTAGTTACAATGGATAATATTGAGTGCCTGATAAAAGAGCATATAAAAGATTATAAAAAGCAGTGCTATAATAGTGTAAGTTGAGTATAAAGGAAGCTTATATATTTTTGCAGAATAACTAACATTCAATAACTTTCAGTACTTGTGAAGCACTTTTAAAGTATGCAATTACTTTTGACTAAAACACTGGTAAAAGAATGAGAAGCAGAGTAGTAACTACTCATATACTATTTCAAAAACTTATTTTCACTTTCCTAAATTTATATAATATGTCATACTTAGAGAACATTCTCTGCAACTTACGTACACCACAAGGACCATGTTTCAAAATATAAACCCGTACGTACGGCGTTGTTTGGGGAAAGTACTTGTATTAAGACACAAAGAAAAATTAATTTGAAAATGTATGTCAAGTTCTTGTTTGCACTCCATGTTAAAACAGAAACCAACAAAACATAGGAGTGTAATGGGATTGCAAAACCCTCACAAATCTTAACTGAGTGAAAAGAAGGAATACCTTTTCGCCTTTTGAGCCTGCTGGACCGGGATGTCCAGGTCTTCCTGTGACTCCCTGCACAACACAGTATGGCTTTACGTTAGTTAAGAAACAATGAAAACACAGTAGTTTTGCACTGCAGCTTAGTTTTTAAAACTTGTACGTTTTGAAGGTCATTTAAACCTAATTATGCTTCTCCTCCAGGTTTAAATATTTCTCTTCTGTTCCATACAGCAGCTGTGTCCTTCTGATAAGCCCTTTGAAGGGTAGAACTTGTGTTTGCGGTTGCATTTTCACCTTGGCAGACTAAATGCACTGACCTTAACTGGCACCTCTTGATAGCTTTAAGAATCGTGCTTTACTGCTAAAATGCCAATTTACATATTCCACATTAAACTGCCTAAATGTGTTACAATCTTTGAAAGAAGGGCAGTGTTAGTACTGTCAGCAGTCTAGGAATGAATAATGATCATACTAACTAATGTGATCCCATACAGTATGTGGATAATAAAAGTTAAAAAACTTCCAAGAGGAGCTTTCCCAGAAATATCAACATTTTAAATGATATTTTTCAGTGACTTTAAACACTGTCAGTTTATTTTCCTATTTTCTTTAACTGTGAAAGCCAAGTGATCACTTGGTTTCAGCACGAGAAGTTTTCAAATGCTTAGCAGGAATTACTTTTACATTTTTACTACTAACTTTATTACTGTAACTTGGGTACAAATACATAATTAACTGCAAGTTTGCACATCATAAGTCATGTAATCTCACCAAGTCTTTAGTAATGCCAAAACTCCAAACCAGTTTAAGTTACATAAATTTTGAGCCCAGACAATGACAGTAACATCAACTCCTAACAGTTTCTTTTATTAGAGCCAGTACAGATAAGATTTTATTATTAATAAAAGCCAAAAGAAAAGCCAAAAAACTAAGAACGCGAGAGTTTACTAGATAGTTATAGCAACTTCTGCAGATATAGATTAAATCTCAGGTGATACCACACACTTACAGATGGTCCACTGGGTCCTGGTATCCCTGGCAGTCCAGGAGCACCTTGAAGGCCCTGGAAATTCAAAGAGCATATGTCTGTTTCCTCTCCCACTTATACCTCAAAAAATACTTCTATTCAGCATGTCCAGCAGTATTATAACTATATAAAACTGTATTTTCATCTAGAAGTTTGGCATTATTTTTAGGAATAAAAAAAAATACCCAGTATGCAGGGAAGACATTATCATTGAACAAGGTTAGGGGCAACTTCTTACTTGACTGATAAGCGACACTTGCCCTTCAACTTTACATATTGATTAGCTTATGTCCTGTATAACTTTTTGTCTTTAGTTGTGCAGATAAGAGCAGGACTTCTGGCTTTCCCTTAGAGATTAATTTTCTGTTTTCTACCACTAAAAAGCTTATTTGCTGGTGAAAAGACATCTGCTCAGACTTCTCAATGCTACCTGATGTTACCTAAATGCAATAATGCATTTTGTCTGATGTATAGATTTTGCTTTTTTGGTAACGGAACATGACATTTTTCATAGTATTTAAACACTGACTTTCCTGCTCTTATTCAATATGGTTGCCTGAAAATCAATGGATTCTGGTACCCACTTACTAAACCTACAGGTATGAAACAACTACAGTGGATACAGCTAGGATTTGAGACAAGCCTGCACATCACTGCAGTCTTTCCTCTGCTACACCTGGCTTAGGCGCAATTTGAGACACCAAAGAGTCATGTACTAATGAGAGCTAATCACTCCCAGCTTCCCCTATAAGCCACAAAGGGAAACAGTTCCTTGCCAGCAGTGATTCATTTGATCTGCACAGGGTGCCTCTCTGACAAGAGGAATCATCTCAGAAAAGGCGTATTTTTCATGTTAAATGCAGTGTTTAATAAGGCATGGCTAAGGGGGTAGTCTAGAAAACCAAAGAGGTCAAGAGCCCTGAAGTAGGTGCTCTGAGAGAGAGACTGAGGGAAAAACTTCAGACAGAAAAAAAAATCAGGAAAACTCTGGAGATGGAGAGAGATATTGACTTCTCTTTTTGCTCCTACAAAGAGAGGACATTGATCCACCTCTGCAGCTTTTCAGAGCTGTTTTTCTTGGCAATCCAACTGGTAATGTGTTCTCTGCTAATTTTGAATTACTTTGATGGTACAGTCACCTGGAAAATGAATATGAAGCCAAAGGAACATCTTATGTAATTCTTATTGCTGATGTTAGAAAAACCCTTCTTGGAAAAAATGAATGTTTAAAAAGGAAGAAAACGAAGCCTCAACAAAGAGTAAAGGGCTATTCAAAAGCACATGGAAGTTAATGAGTGTATTTCAAAGAGTTTCAGTTGGGCTTCTCAACCTCTTATCCCATTCCCATGCTAACCAAATCATAAAAATAAAAATAAATGCATTCTTCTAATATTTGTAAATTTGTAAAAAAAAGTTACTTCTAAACTTTATAAACTCTTTCATAGATGTTTCTGAAAATAAATTCACTTGCACCTTCAGAATGTTGTAATCAAAACCTGCTGCAAAACACGGAATACATCAGGGCTCAGGCAGGTAATCAGCAGTCAAACACTGAAGAAGCATGGTGCACAGCTAACTTACTAACACAGCACAGCATCCTAGTGAATCAGTAGAGAGATTCAGAATTAATTTACTCTGGAGTCCTTTAAGAAGGACTATAGGGCACACGAAGGGTGTGTTACTTTCCCATTTATTTTTTATGTAAAATTCTGCTTGGGCTTTGCTTATGACTGCCTTCATCATTATAGGGTATATGTTCCAAATCCAGCCTTAGGAGGCACTTGCTTTTGAGAAGCAAAGACTTAATGAGCTCTATATAGATCACATGAAAACAAGAAGAAAAATAGCACGATACTTTAGTCTGACAATCTGCTAAATTCTGGAGCAAAGCAGTAGCAGGAATACATATCTAATACTTCTGTTGCATCTTTTTTTTCCTCATATAACTTTACTTTTGGAAGCCAAAAATCCCAATGGACAAAGATTTTTTAAAAAGCTTATTTTCATTCTACTACTGTTAGAAAATTCTTACTATATTATGGCCTTAGTACCCAAGAAATGCAAAATGCTCATAAAGAATTAAAACCCCTCAATCAATAAGCCCTAAATTTCTTTCATATTTGCTAGGTGCTTTCTCTTGTAGCCAGCACTCCCACATTACAAGAGACTAGTAGGTATTTAAAAGTGCCAGTTAAATATTTTGTAACAGACTACTTATTTTAACTCCAGTTGGCTAAGGTCAACTAATTTATTTACTCAGATTCACTTGCTTAATAGCTTCTGCTTTTGTGTTTTTTTGACAGAGATTGCTCTTGAACTGCTAACTGCAAGTATTTCAATTTAAAATGAAAGCTATAGCAGCTGGTGTAGATTCGGCACCACAAGTTGTGTAGCTTTTTTTCCTTCTCCATAATGACATAAAAATGACTAAGCATGCAGTATATGATGCAAACTACTGTAAATATTTTTAAATTCAGTCTATTCAAACATTTTCCGGTTTGCACTTAATAGCAAATGATGCTATGACCATTCCCATCAGAGTATTTACCTAATGGAACATTTTTGAAAGTGAATTCTAAAGGGGAACTAACACAATGAAAGCAGGTATGTAAAAAAGAAGCACATGAAGTATTTTCAGAAAATATTTGGCATTTGCCTATTTATTGCCCTATCCTATACTCTCAAAAATTAGCATTTAAATATATGTGAGGCTTTAAAATATACAAATGAGCAAAAATCCTCAGATAAAAATTAAATAGGTTTTATTTAATTGAACAATAGCATTTAATCTTGTTGAAAATTCAGAGTCAAGGGCTATTTGTAGCAATACATTACTATCTCAGCAGTTTTAAAGAACTTAATAACATTCTGTGCTTTTCATTCTCTGTCCAGGTTCTTTATTCAGGTTCAGATACGAATGCAACCGCTATAGAAATGCCATAATTTTACCTCATCGCCCTTCTCTCCAGTAAGCCCAGGAAATCCACGTTCACCTTTGCTTCCCTATGAAAATGTAACATTCAAACAAACACTTTCTGTTAGAGAATAATGAATGTCATGCTCTGTAGGGAATTTTATGACCCACATTTAATATCTAATATTACCTAAAAGCTTTAAAATACGCCTCCCATCGAGGTGAACGGAAATGAGTGGTTTTTACCCAGTAGGCAAACTAGCCAAAATGCCTGATGGAGACATCTTATAAATACCAAACAGCTTAAATGCTTGTCCAAATGGAGAAAGTACACTTTCATGGAATTAGGCTCAACTATAGGAGATATCTTCATGCCAAACTGTGTGGGATCTGACTCGATTACAGTGAAGGAGAAGTTTGATGGACGCCAGTGAAAACTTCAAGCCCCAGTGAAATGGCTGCGTTACTCCCACGGCCCAGCTGTTGCACACTTGAGGGAGATATGGGAAGTTTCCTTCTTCACTAATGGATTCTTGAGTGATCGATTCTCCTCAAATAAGCCTGTAGATGGCAATGCACTACTGGACAGCCAAATCCAAGCTAGCTTTAATGGATGCAAGACACAGACGAGAGATCCTGGCTTGCAACTCAACTTGGGCTATTTCGCTGCCTTTCCCAAGAGGAAAGGCGAACTGACACAGGAAGAGGGCTCAACCATAAAAATTCTTTGAACCTTTAGGCTGTTCAGAAGCTACAGGGATAGGGATCAGACAACAAAGTCAAGACTGACAGATGTAAGAGTCCAGCCTTTAAACAAGCAACGAAACAGTGTACTCTCTTCAAAACTTACCTTTGGCCCTTCTCTACCAGGGATGCCTGGAGGACCTCTTGTGCCAGGATCACCCTGAGGAACACACACAAAGCAGTGACAAGTAACCACTTTTGTGGCATGGGAAGACGGTCTGATCTGTGCAGACCACTTCCTGCCTTTGTGACTATCCCTTCATTTTACCCCAAAGTCTGCTCTTCAGTCCCTTCTCTCTTCTACACAAAATATTTGTTCAGATGTCCTTCCTTCTTTCCCCATCTCTCATAAACTCCACTCAAACCATGTTAACAAATTTTTCATCCCAGAGAGCTCCAACTTGATCGGGCTCATAAATGCTATTTTGGGTAGTCTCAGACACATCTGTGTTTAGGTCTGAGCACAGCATCCTCCATTTAAGGATTAGATAGAGATGGAGGCTACTTGTTACTCTCACCAGCTTCAAATCTACACTTATTTTAAATTAAATGATTCCTGCTTTGTTAAGAGAAGCTTTTCCAGCTAAATTACAATCTTATAGAAGTGCTAACCACAAAACTGAGAGAAATGAAGAATGAAGCGTAAAGAATCAGTAAGAGAGAGAACTGACAAAGAGTTAGGAGACCACATACAGCAGAAAGAAATTACAGTTACAAAGAGAAAGACTAGGGAAAAGCCCAAAGACAGACCTAAAAGAAATCAGATTTGGGAATGAGAAAGTCAATAAACCCTAAGTACATGCATTAATAAAGGACAGCAGAACAGGACCATTTCTATCCTCAGAAATGATAAATGCTTTTCATATAGAAATCCTCCAGAGTACACTTTTCATTTTGGAATATGGCAGATCACTTCAAATTTTATTATTTTTCAGAATAACACCTTAGAAATTTTCCCCATTCAGTGTATTACCAATACCAATGTCAATGTGGGCCACAGCACAATGCTACAGAGTGGAGGATGGGGTATACTTGTAGTAATTCATAGTGTGGACTGGATGTACTGAATGGGCACTTGCTGGCTATTGCCTCACATACTGTTCAAATGGTATTTTGCAAAATTCCTGTAAATAATATTTCTTGAGTATTTAAAAAAAACGCACAAAATCAACAACATTCTCAAAATTATTTTAGGCTAGCCAAGTAAGTCAGAATTGAACCTATAAAAACTTGAAGTGCATATTTTGGTTTAAAAAGCATGGTTATAGTAAACAAAGATATTCAATATCTGAAAAGTTTTACCTTTAGTATAGCACCCATGTCTCCTACAAGTGGCAGTGCAATCTGAAATTCAGAAAGGCAGCTGCAGTTAATGTTTTACACAACACTACTGATTCTGATGGGTTCTCATTGCTTCCAAAGTTTGTACTGTTATACACACAGCTGATTACATATATATATTTTTTCATGAAAACTGAAAAGAAAAATCAGGGTTTCAAATATAGTTAAATATTGCTGTCTATCAACCTAACAAAGTAATTCCTTGTTACGTTCTCAATCAAATTCCTTAAACCACAAGAGCATAACTCCAGAACACAGTAAATTTCACTTTAAAATAATAATAATAATATATTTCTTTTGTAGCATAGCATCAACAACTTATCACTATTGGAAAGTCTCACAGACTATTCTCATCTGATTATTTTCAACTGTTTTCCTTCTGCTTTCTCCTTGGCTTTGACTCTACTGCGAACTATAGCATGAATTGTGGAGATGCCAAAGCTAAATTCAATAAACTAGTTCTGATACTGGAAATAATACAGGTACAGCAACACGAGCAACAAATACAATATTTTGTCCTGCCTTTAAACAGTAAGAATTAGTGCAAAACTTCATTGTGCCACAGCTAAATTGCCACCAATACTAAAGCTAAACCATTTAAAGCTCAATCAATAGGTTTACACTGTACTGCAATGTATCTCAGATTTCCAAGTGCTGTCATTAAACTTATATTTAAAGACTCCCTGTAAAAATGGATTGAACTGGTTATCATCTGCTTCACTCGCGAATGGACTCTTCAATTACCAATGCTCATTTCCTCTTGCAATTGCTAAAGCAAAAATAGCCCTGGGCATACTATAAAGTTGGACACATTCAAAATTTGTTACTGTTTTTGTTGAGTCTTTTTCAAACATTTCCATCTCAAAGAAGAGAAATAAAATGTAAGCACTTCTGTAGCGTATTAGAAAAACTGGTGGTTGGTAGCAATGGGTGTCAAACACCAGCTCAAGAGAAGCACTGCTGAATGTGCTTAACCACAAGTGTAATCAGCAGTACACCATTCACCGGGTCGCATCACCACCTTTGAAAGCGTGCTGAGAAGTTTTCCAAGGTGTTAACGCAACTTAAGGACACAAATGTGTAAGGTACGTAGTCCATGCTTTGCACAATGGTAAACCGTACATTGACAGTGACATCTGCTCTTAAAAAGCTGTAACAAGCCTCAAAACCAACAGGCACATCCCTACATGGCCTAGATTTTCATCCTTCTCCTTGTGACAACATTTTTCAGAGAGGCAGGCTATTACCATGTCACGTATTAGTCGTTCTGCCGGACTACACAAGTGTAATTTCTCCAGTCTCTCCTCTTTTCTAATGCTCTTATTGGAGCTGCAATATCATTTTGTGGCAGAGGCCTCCAAACCCTCAGTGTGAAGGGGTCCTAAGATCTGGCTGCAAGGACACACCAGGGATGGGAGCAATCCTACTGCGTTTGTGCCACACAGTTGTTCTGCTCTGCCTGTACAGCAGGCTCAGCCCGGCTGCACACACACTGGAGTCACAGCTCTGTATGCTGAAGTCTGAGTAAGTGTACGATATATGCTGGGCTTTTGAAAATGTTAAAACAGCCTTAACTCTCTGGACTCACTCCTGCTTCCTACATCTTCCTTTAAAAATGTTCTCTTCAAAGGGAAGAGTATTTCAAGCGAGCAAAAGGCAGTAATTCTCCTGTTAGTAAATTCTAACATTTAGACCTGTCTATTTAACAGTGGCATCAGGTCTTTTACTTAAATTAGTTTACAGTGCACTGTGCCTTCCAGACCTATTCCATTTATGGATTTTGTTTTTTCTTATTAAGCATTTTATGCTCATCTATCTCGAGTTTAATCTTGTTGACTTCAGACTGCCTCTGAATTTTAAACTTTGATTATATCTTCAAAAAGCTAGCACTCTTT